CCCTGTCTCTGGGTCTCTCCCTGCTTCTCCCTGTCCCTGGGTCTCTCCCTGCCTCTCCCTGTCTCTGGTCTCCCCTGTCTCTGGGTCTCTCCCTGCCTCTCCCTGTCTCGGGTCTCTCCCTGCTTCTCCCTGTCTCTGGGTCTCTCCCTGCTTCTCCCTGTCTCTGGGTCTCTCCCTGTCTCTGGGTCTCTCCCTGTCTCTCCCTGTCTCTGGGTCTCTCCCTGCATCTCCCTGTCTCTGGGTCTCTCCCTGCTCTCCCTGTCTCTGGGTCTCTCCCTGTCTCTGGGTCTCTCCCTGCTTCTCCCTGTCTCTGGGTCTCTCCCTGCTTCTCCCTGTCTCTGGGTCTCTCCCTGTCTCTCCTGTCTCTGGGTCTCTCCCTGCCTCTCCCTGTCTCTGGGTCTCTCCCTGCTTCTCCCTGTCTCGGGCTTCCTGTCTCTGGGTCTCTCCCTGCTTCTCCCTGTCTCTGGGGTCTCTCCCTGTCTCTGGGTCTCTCCCTGCTTCTCCCTGTCTTGGGCCTCTCCCTGTCTCTGGGTCTCTCCCTGCTTCTCCCTGTCTCTGGGGCCTCTCCCTGTCTCTGGGGTCTCTCCCTGCTTCTCCCTGTCTCTGGGTCTCTCCCTGCCTCTCCCTGTCTTGGGTCTCTCCTGCTTCTCCCTGTCTCTGGGTCTCTCCCTGCCTCTCCCTGTCTCTGGGTCTCTCCCTGTCTCTGGGTCTCTCCCTGCATCTCCCTGTCTCTGGGTTCTCTCCCTGTTCTGGGTCTCTCCCTGCCTCTCCCTGTCTCTGGGTCTCTCCCTGTCTCTGGGTCTCTCCCTGCATCTCCCTGTCTCTGGGTCTCTCCCTGTCTCTGGGTCTCTCCCTGAATCTCCCTGTCTCTGGGTCTCTCCCTGTCTCCCGGCATCTCTTCCCTGCTTCTCCCTTGTCTGGGTCTCTCCTGCCTCTCCCTGTCTCTGGGTCTCTCCCTGCTTATCCCTGTCTCTGGGTCTCTCCCTGCCTCGCCTGTCTCTGGGTCTCTCCCTGCTTCTCCCTGTCTCTGGGTCTCTCCCTGCCTCTCCCTGTCTCTGGGTCTCTCCCTGCTTCTCCCTGTCTCTGGGCCTCTCCCTGCCTCTCCCTGTCTCTGGGTCTCTCCCTGTCTCTGGGTCTCTCCCTGCTTCTCCCTGTCTCTGGGTCTCCCTGTCTCTGCCCCCGTCTCTCAGTCGGTCTCTAAGCCTCTGTTGCTTGCTATCTCTGAGGGAGGCCCCCCAACCCAAGCCCTGGACGCGGTCCCCCCCCCCCCCCCCCCCCCAGGATCAGGGCAGGGCCCAGCCAGAGGCAGAGTGAGGAAGGAAGGAGGAGGCAGAGGAGCGACAGTGGTGAGGACAGAAACAGCTTTATTCATAGAAACCGCAGCAGAGGGCCCGACAGGCCTCCATGGGGAGAGAGCTGGAGAGAGAGAAAGAGAGAGAGAGACAGAGAGAGAGAGAGAGAGAGAGACAGAGACAGAGACAGAGACACGGACGGGAGAAGGGAGAGAGCTGGGCCCAGGAAGTTGGATGGAGCGGGAGATGGGAGAGAGAAACGGAGAGAGGAGGAGAAACAAAGGCAGAGGGAGAGACGGGCTGGGGGGGAGATGATGGGGGAAGGACAGAGGCAGGTTTACAGAGGGGAGCAGGGGGACAGAGATGGGAAGGGACACAAAGAGAGATGGAGGGGGGAGAGAGAGAGAGAGATGCAGAGACAGGAGAGACAGAGGAGAACAGAATGAGACAGAGGGAGAGAGAGAGAGAGAGAGCGCGCTGGAGGGGCTGGAGCTGCTGCGGGAAGTTGAGGAAGGACGCCCCCTCTCACCTGGCGCTGCCGGCGGTGGAGCCCAGGGCCGGCCGGGTGATTTAAGGGGCGCCCTGGGGGCGGGGCTGCGCCCTCCCCGCCTTATCTGGGCAGCCGGCCGGGCTGCGGGAGCTAAATCGGGCCTCAGCTGTCAGCGCCGAGGGGCGCGGGGCGCGGGGCAGGGACAGCTGTCGCCCCGCACCTGCCGGCCTGGCCTCCTCCCCTCCCCGGCGCGGGCACTGGGAGGCCCTGCGGTCTGTGAGGCGCCCCGATGGGCAGCTGGGTGCCCCGGGGCCCCCACCAGCTCTGGGCGGCCTGGCTGGGCCCCCTGGGCAGGTGCAGGCCGGTCAGGGGTGAAGTGGGCCAGGCAGGTGGGGGCGGTGCCAGCACCACGGCGGGAACAGTAACCGCCAGTCAGTGCAAGGCCTGTGCCCAGCTGGGGGTCAGTGGATGAGGGGGGCTGGGGCCTCTGGACCCCTCCCCTCCCCTCCCCAGGCCCCCTCCCCTCCCGCCTGCCTGGCTCCTCATCGGACCATATTAGGCCACAGCTGCGATGGCACCTGGAGGCCACTCAGGCCGGGAATAGAAACACTTGGGAGTGGCCGCCAGGCCGTCTGGGGCCGGGGCCTGGGGCTGGCACAGCAGGAGGAGGGGGCCCAGAGGGCCAGGGGGGCACAGAGACGGGCCCAGAGATGGGGAGAGACATCCAGAAAGAGCGGGCAAGAGAGGGACACAGGGGGACACAGCGGGAGCCAGGGGGGAGGCAGGGGAGGGAGGGAGCCCGCAGGGAGCCGCCGCCCAGGGTGGGCTGTGGGGCCCCAGGTCGGGGCGTCTGGGACTCGAGCGGGTTTCCCTCCTGCGCGGTTTGACTTCTCACTGTTTAAAAATATATTTTTATTGATTTCAGAGAGGGAGGGAGGGAGAGATGGAAACACCAGTGAAGAGAGAGATCGCTGACTGGCTGCCTCCTGCACGCCCCACACCCGGGATGGAGCCAGAAACCCAGGCACGTGCTGACTGGGGACTGAACCCTGACCTCCTGGCTCACAGGTTGGCACTCAACCACTGCGCCAGGCTGGCTGGGCTGACTGCTGACCTTACCAGCTGCCCTTTGACCTCTGGGAGTCTTGGAGACCAGAACCCTTCAGGCCCCAGCCCCCACCTCCCCGCCAGCGTTTCAGGGTGACAGCTGCTCCCTGCCTGCTTGGGGGGCAGCTCCTTGGATGGCTTACTATTGGGGTGACGCCCACCCTGTCTCTCCCAGCCGTGACCTCCCTGTGCCTCTGGGGTCCCTGCTGCAGCCCAGGCCCCTCTCTGCCTGCCCCCACCCCCCTGCCCGGCTCACACACCCCTGCCTCCCGCGTCAGGCCCTTGACCCCTGGAGCCATCTCCCTAGCCAGGGGTGGGCAAACTTTTTGACTGGAGGGCCACAATGGGTTCTTAAACTGGACCGGAGGGCGGAACAAAAGCATGGATCGAGTGTTTGTGTGAACTAATATAAATTCAAAGTAAACATCATTACATAAAAGGGTACGGTCTTTTTTTTTTTTTTAGTTTTATTCATTTCAAACGGGGGCCGGATCCGGCTGTAGTTTGCCCACGGCTGCGCCTAGTCCCTCCCCCCATCACCCAGCCCACTGAGCACACCTTGTCCCCAAACCACTGCTCTTCCCCCTCCTCCCCTGCCTCAGGGTCACACCCTGGGCACCTTCTTCCCTCCCTCCCTCCCCCCTTCCCTCCCCCCAGAGCCTGCCAGGCCCAGACTGTCCTCTGTCCCCTTCTCTCTGCCCCAGGGTCCGGCTCAGGCCTCGTCCTCTCCCATCTGGGCCTGGAGCCTCCTCCAGGGCCTCCGGCCTTCCGTCTGCCCAGAGGGTCTCTCTGCACCAGGACTGACCTGCCCCCCCCCCCCGCCCCCAGCTGCCAGCTGCTCTTCTCCTCCCCTCCTGGCCAGCACCCACCCCGTCTCTCCTCACCTCCTCAGATAACGGGGCAGACGGCTCTTGTTCCCAATTCTGGAAAGGCTCCCTCCCCCTCCCCCTGGCCCTGGACACCCTCAGCCTCCCCGGCCGCCTCCCAGGTCCCCTCACCTTCCTGTGGCCCCAAAGTGTCCCAGGGGACCCCTGTTAAAGGCCACCCCCCCCCCCCCCATGGGACAGGGGAGGTCTTCCTGCCCCTTTGCTTTCTCCTCCCCGACAGACCTGGGGTGGCTCGCAGGCCCCACCCAGAGCTGGGGCTCAGGAGGCACCGGGAAAGCAGACCTGAGGGGGAAGCTGCAGGGAGGGCTGGGGCCTTGGGGTGTTGGGGGGAGCGGAACAGGGGCCTGTCTGGTGAGGACACACCTAGGGGAGCCAGCCGTTGCTGTTTAAAACTGCCGCCTCCTGGGCACGGCTTCCCCATTTGTCAGCTCGGCACCCTCCCATCCTGTCCCGTCTCCCTCCTCACGGCACATGCCTGCCCCAGGGCCTTTGCACTGGCCCCTCTCCCTGGGGAATGCTGGTCCTCCCGACCTGCCCCGGCTCCCTCGGTGAGGCCACGCCCTCGCGGATGCCAGGACGCTGCATCCCTTTGCCAAGGCTGCCCCATCCAACCAACCTCGCTTACAGCCACGCAGCCTTCAACCCTGAGGCCCCACAGTCCAGGAGGGGGGGGGGGCAGTCCAGGGTGGGCAGGGCCGGCCCTCGGGGCCTGGAGGGCTGTCCCTGCCTGTGGGGCCCTCACCCTGGCTCGTGGCCCCTCGTCTATAGGGCTGCGTGTGAGTGTCCGCGCCTGGCCTGTTTCATCTCCGGGCCCCTCGTCTTCCTCCGACTCCCCTCCCGCCTCCCTCTCCGCTTCCCGGGATCCTCGTGCTTCTCGGAGACCGCGGGAGCCTCTCTGCCTCAAGGTCGGCTTCAAGGTCAGCGGAGCGAAGGGATTCCCGCTGCAGCCTCCCCTGCCCTGCCCTGCGGCCGCACCTGTTCCCGGTTCCTGGGCATTCGGGCCACGGATGGAACAGAACCGAGAGTCCGGAACGGAGCCTGGCTTTCTCCCGGGCGCCGCCCCACAGGGCACTCTGGGGGCACCCAGGTGTCGGCCTCTGCCACCTGGGCACCTGGGCCCACAGGGCGGGAGGAGCAGGCCGGGGCTGGGGCTCACAGGTCAGCTGGGAGCTGCGTTCGCCCGGCCGCGGGGACCAGCCTCGCTGGTAAAGGGAGTCACGCGGAGAAAGGAACAAATCTGATTTATTGAGGCAACAGCAGCAGCAGCAGCAGCAGGAGGGGGGGAGGGGCGGGGCCTCGGGGGCCCATGGGGGCCGGTGGGGAGGCCCCGGAGCCGGGCGGGACTCAGCAGGGACAGGCAGCGCGGCAGGGCACCCGCCCCGGGGTCAGTCGGTCAGCAGCCAGCTGCTCTTCTCCTCCACCTCCTTGGTCACCACCACCAGCACCTGGCACAGGCCCGGGGCCAGCACGGCCCCCAGGAAGGCCCTGGGCGGGGAAACGGGGAGGCTGAGGCCCAGGGGCCTGGCGCGGCCCCTGGGGGTCGGGGGGGGCTCCCCCTCTCCCCTCACCTGAGGCCGTCCTCATCCCCCAGCGCCTCGGGCGCCCGCAGCTTGGAGTCCAGGTTGTAGTAGACGCCGTCCACCTGGCGCAGGGCCACCCAGTGCCGCCGGCGCAGGGGCAGCGACAGCAGCCCCAGCGACACGGGCGCCGGCAGGTTCAGGATCAGCCCCAGCACGTGGGGCAGGGCCAGCTGGGACAGGGGCCTGCGGGGGGTTGGGGGGGCGGGGGGGGGCGGGGCTCCGAGTCACTGTGCATGGCCCAGGCGGGCGCAGCAGCAGTGGCCGGAGCCCCCCAAGGACTCGCCTCAACCAGCCCACCAGCTCCTTCCACCTGTTCACCCGCCCGACACGGGCTCCCTCTCCACCCGCCACCACCCACCCATCCCTAACCCACCCACTTCCCCATCCACCCACCACCTGCCCCCACCCAACCCCCAGGCAACCCCCTCCTGCCCCCCCCCACCCATCCAAGCCCCAGGCACCATCTACCATCATCTCCACCTCCCACCCAGCTCTCCATCCACTCTCCACGCATCTGCCATTGATCTACCGGTTACCCACCCGCCCTACACCACCTGTCCGCCCCCCCCATCTAACCACCACCCAGCACCCAGCTACCCATCATCCCACACAGCACGCACCGCTGATGCAGCCAGCTCCCCACCCACAAACTGACCACTACCCACCCAACTCATCTGCTCTACCAGCCACCGCCCAGCCACCCATTGCTGTCCACTGCCCGTCAGCTACTTACCCATCTTCATTCCCTCAGCCCCTCACTCAGCCATCTGTTCACGCAGCCCGTCACCCAGGCACCGCCCACTCCACACACCCAACCGCCCATTCCCCACCCAGTCAGTCACCCAGTTCCATGAATTTACCCACCACCCACCCATCAATATCCATCGACCCACACATCCCACACATCCTTCTACTACCTCCAACCCAGCCACCATGCAAACCTTACAGCCATCTTCCCCCCTCTCCCTCCCTCCCTCCCTCCCTCCCTCCCATCCCCCTCCTGTCATCACATCACACCCCCTGTGCAAGCCCAGCACAGGCCACTGAGCTTCAGGTCCCACCTCCTTCGGTCCCACCACACCGCGGCCAGGCCCAGCCCCTGCAGAGCGGCCATGATCACATTGACGTCATAGTTGCCGGTGCCCAGGAAGCTGCGATGGGGGTTCAGCCGGCAGTCGGGGGCCAACCTGGTTGGGGGGCGGTCAGAGACTGAGCTGGTCCCCCTCCCCACAAAGCATGGCAGTCCCAGGGTCTGTGTGTCTTCCCCCCCTTCAACCCCCATGGCTCAGCAGCCCCAGGCCCTGTCCCTCCTTCCCCCGACTCTATCTGCCCCCTCCCCCCAACACCCCTCCTCCAGCCACACCTCCCTGCTTAGGCCTTGTCCTCCGCTACCTGGACCCTCACCCAGCCCCCAGCTCCCCTCCAGCGCCCCTCCCACAGGCCCAAGGCTCTTCCCACACCTGGCACTGCCCCTGCCCCTCCCACACTCCCAGGCCCCCTGATGCACCATCACCAGGATGGAGTGCCAGCCCCTCAGCCGAGCAGTCAAGGTCCCACATGGCCAGGCCCCTAGGGCCTCCTGGCCTCAGTCCCCCCCCACTTCCCAGCCACAGCTCTGGAGCCCCTGCCCCCAGCCTCTCCGCCAGCTGTCCCCGCGGGAGGCCCCCAGCCCCACTGTCTCTCTGGGCCCTCTGCCCCTGGACAATAGCACCTTTGTTCTCTCTCTGGCCCTTGGGCAGGGCAGGCAGGGCAGGTCGGACAGGGGCAAATTTCTGTGTCATTTTCTGTGTGTGTGCCCCTGACCCCTCGGGGCGGGGCTCCCATTGGACTCCGGGTCTGGGCAAGGCCATGGCGTGAGAGCGCTGACCGCTCCCTGTTCTGAATGACAGATGAGTCAGTTCTCTCACCATCAGCCTCAGGGGCTGCGGCTCAGCCTGAGGGTGCGGGGTGCCCGGGGGACTGTGAGCAACGACACAGGGTCGCCTCCAGCTGAGGTTCATATGGGGCCCCGGTTGAATGGGGAGACTGGAGGCCAAGGGGAGGGCCTGGGGGACGATGGGGCCTGAGCTGGGGCCAGGGATGTGTGTGTGTGCGTGCGTGTGTGTGTGTGTGGGGGGGGGGGGGGGGGGGATCGGGGGTGAGGCAGAGAGATAATAAAGAAGTGTTTGAAATGGTGAACAGTGAGGGGGAACATTCCAGGCTGCCAAGAGGCCGCGGTGCCGGCAGAACAGGCCCCGCCAAGGCCCAGAGGCCTCCCAGAGGGGCTCCTCCATCCCTGCGGAGGAACGCGGTTTGGGGGAGCAGTGAGATGTGAAGCTGCAGAGCAGTTGGGGAGCAGAGCACGCAGGGCCTTGGACATCGGCTGGGGCCTGGGGACTTCTCCCAGGGGTGCTGGGAGCCAGGGGAGGGGCGGGGGCAGCGCTGGGGTGTGTGTGTGTGTGTGTGTGTGTGTGTGTGCAGATGGACGGGAAGTGGGGCCCGGGGCCCAGACCAGACAGGGTGAGGAGGGGACCAAGGCCCAGATGAGGGAGAGCGAGGCCTGAGTGGGTGAGGCGCTGCGGATGGACAGGCGCGGGAGGCCACACGTCCATCTCCGAGTCCCAGGGGCCAGCCCAGGCGGGTGATGTGGCCGCGGAAACCTGGGCTCGGCCCCTGCCTCGCTAAGACCCCGGCGGGTGCTCGGGGCGGGGGCGGGCGGGTGAGGTCACCTCTTGCAGATCTCATCGGCAGCCTCCTGGCTAAAGAGCCGCTGCTGCAGGACGTTGTTGAGGGCGTGGATGGCACACAGCTCCAGGCGCTGCCGCTCGTGGTACACAGAGGGTCGTGGCGGCGCTCCTGGGCCCTGGGACATGCCGCCCTCCGCTCCTGCGTGCGGGGCGCAGGAGAAGGCGCTCAGGAGACCGGGACCTGGAGCTGGAGGCCCAAACTGTCAGCAGGCTCCGGAGGCGGCACCGTTCCCCCCCGAGGGGGGCTGGGCGCAGTCTGAGGGAACGCGGGGCCCTGCCCCTGCCCCCCGGTCCCTCTCCTGGCAACGGGGTACCTCCATCCCCCCGTCCCTCGGCCAAAGGCCCCCTTTTCTGCTCACCCAGCAACAGAGGGACCCCCCTCCGCTCTGTAGGTAACAGGCTCCCTCTCTGGTTACCTAGCAACAGAGAACCCCCCGCCCCACTGATAACAAGTCTCTCCTCTAGTTCCTTAGCAACAGAGGAATCCTCCTCCTGTCTCTAGGTAACAAGGGTCTCTTCTGGTCGCCTAGCAACAGACGACTCCCCTCCCACCATTAAACAACAGGGTTTTCTCTTCCTGTCACCTGGCAACAGAGCCCCTTCCCCAACCCACACCCCAACCGCGGCGCTTGCCCGTTGCCAAGCAACGCCCCTCACCCCGCCTGCTCTCTGCTCCCCGGAACCAGGGGCTCCCGCATCCCCCTGAGCAGCGACTCTGGGCTCCGAATGCGGGGCAGGAAGCCCGGCGCTGACTGGGTAGGCGGCACAGACTACAGCTCCCGGCGCCCCCCGCGTTCCGGACTACGACTCCCGGCGGCCTCCGCGAGGAACGTCTGGGCGGCGTGGCCCGGAAGTCCCCTAAGCCTCCGGGATCGCGGGAGGGCAACTTCCGTCACTCTCCGCGGTGAGCCGCCGCAGTGCGCTCTGCAGAGGCCCTCGCCTTCGCTCAACCCCCATCTCCCTGCTGCTCAGAGGATTCTGGGAAATGTAGTGGCTAGGTTCTCGCTGCTCAGAGGATTCTGGGAAATGTAGTGGCCAGGTTCTCGCGATGGCTTCCCGCCTCTGTGCTCCCAGCCGAGCCCGCCCCCTGAGGTGGCGTGATGCCCAGTGTGCGGGCGCAGCGTGACGTCACAGAAGGGTAGCCAGATTGTGCATCTTTACTGAGACGGGGGGAGTCCGGGGAAACTGAGGCAGGGCAGCGGCTGCACGGGGGCGGCGGGGGGAGGTAATGAGGCGAGGATGTCCTGGGGAGGAGACTGCTCAGCAGATGTGGATCCCGGGCCTGGAAGGGAGCTGGCTGCAGCCTGCGGGGAGGTACCGGGAATGACAGGCTGAGGCCGAGAAGGGAGAGACACGCCCGGGGGAAGGAACAGAGGGGCCCGCCCGGGGGCGGGGGGACAGAGACCCCTGGAGAGCGGCCGGAGATGGAGAGAGCAGTGCAAGGATCCAAAGCCCTGGCGTAGAGCAGCGGTTCTCAACCTTGGCTGCACCTGAGAGTCACCTGGGAAGCGTTTTAAAATCCTGATTTCTGGGCCTCATCCTCCGGAAATTCTGTTTCTTTGTGATGGGGCGGGGCCACCACATTAGTAACAAAGAAACAGAATTTCCGGAGGATGAGGCCCAGAAATCAGGATTTTAAAACGCTTCCCAGGTGACTCTCAGGTGCAGCCAAGGTTGAGGACCGCTGGCGGAGAGGCTATAGGCAGTGATGGCGAACCTCTGACACGCGAACTCATTTTTTTTGGTTGATTTTTCTTTGTTAAATGGCATTTAAATATATAAAATAAATATCAAAAATATAAGTCTTGCCCTAACCGGTTTGTCTCAGTGGATAGAGCGTCGGCCTGCGGACTGAAGGGTCCCAGGTTCGATTCCGGTCAAGGGCATGTACCTTGGTTGCAGGCACATCCCCAGTAGGAGGTGTGCAGGAGGCAGCTGATCGATGTTTCTCTCTCATCGATGTTTCTAACTCTCTATCCCTCTCCCTTCCTCTCTGTAAAAAATCAATAAAATATATTTAAAAATATATAAGTCTTTGTTTTACTATGGTTGCAAATATCAAAAATTTCTATATGTGACACGGCACCAGAGTTAAGATAGGGTTTTTCAAAATGCTGACACGCCGAGCTCAAAAGGTTTGCCATCACTGCTATAGGGAGACTCCGAAATAAAGATCAGCCAACAGACACAAAAGCAGAACTGCAGAACCAGAGCCCGAGACCCAAGCTCTGCAGAGCCCTGGGCCCAGGGCCTGGGGGGCCCCGGACACTGCAGGGGCCTGGCCATACCCAGGAGGCTGCGCCAGAAGGCGGTGACGGTGGCAGAGCCCGTGACGGCGCCGGGCTCGGCGGGGTTCTCCCGGTGGGTGTGCACAGCGAAGCTTCGTCCCGTGGGGCCCGGGGGCCCGCTCAGCTCCACATCCACCACGTGCATGTCCGTGAGGCTGGAGCAAGCAGGGCGGTCAGTCTGTCTGTCTGGCCCCAGACCCACCCCCTGCCCAGCGTCGCTCACCTGCGGTCCGCCACCAGCACCCCGATCACGCGGTCGAACCCCAGGCTGGGGGCCGCCAGGGCGGCAGCCGCCATGGTGTTGGAGTTTCGGGGGGCAAAGGGGCAGAGCCCGCGAACAGGGCCTTCGTAGAGCACAGTGCGAGGCCCCGTGCTCTGAGCGGCGGCCAGGGGTCCCTCCAGCCGGAAGCCATCGGGATGTGTGGCCATGGTGACACGGAGGCTCTGGAAGTGACAGCCCGGGTCAGGGGGGCCCAGGGGTCTCTGCAGAGCCCCTCCGCTTCCTGGGGACCCCAACAGGCCCTCACCTGGAGGCCCCCAGCCGCGTCCAGTCTGCTGATGTCCTCAGTGCCCCACAGGGCCCCCCGGGCCACGAACACGGCGTGGTTCCAGCGTTTGGAGGCCTCCAGGAGCTGCCGCTCTGTGGCCTGGTCAGCCAGGGCTGAGGGGGACCCCACCTGGGGTGGGTGAAGGTGGGTGGGGCAGAGGTCAGGGGACCCATCCCACTCTGGGGTGGGGTGGGGCCGAGGAGGAAGGGCCGGGGCTCACCAGGAGGTTGGCGTGGCGCAGGATCTGTGCCCCAGATTCCTGGATTATTTTGGGATGGGCCACTTCCACCACGAGGTCGGGGTGCCTAGGAGAGGGGAGAGGTGGGGAGGGCCTTGGAGAGAGATCAGGCCTCCCCTCCCCAGATTTCCTCGGTCTGTCGTGGCCCGTCACTCCTCACCCAGGCCTGGGAGGGGAAACGGGGCGGATGGGCTTGTCCCAACTCATACTTGGGTGACCCAAGGCCCAGAGAGGGTGAGGGACGTGCCTCAGGTCACACAGCAGCTAAGGGAGGCCAGAACCGGAGCTTCGCCCCGGGAGCCCTGCTCGCTCAGGGCAAGGTCACTGACCTCTCCCCAAGGTCAGCGAGGTTCTGCAGCTGCAGGGACGGGGGCACTTTCCCCGCCAGGCGTCCCGGGTCTCGATTCCAGACAAAAACCAGTTCTAGGCCCAGTTCCGGCCCCTGAGTCAGCAGGTGGGAGACCAGGGACTGTCCTGGGAGGAGGGCAAGAGACTCAGAGAACAGGGGACAGAGCCCCAGGGGGAGGGGGACAGGGACCTGGAGAAGGAGACCGAGCCCCACGGTGGGTGAAAGGTGTGTTGGTGGCGGACACAGGGCCTTGGGGGCTTCAGGAAGGGGCCTGGGTAGGAGCCCCAGAGGGTCAGGGACTCACCGAGACGGCCGTAGCCCACCACCCCCACCCTCCGCGGGACCCTGTCCAGGGCCATGTCCTGGAGTCTGGTGGTCTGGTCTGCGGTCCGAGCTCCGTCAGCTGCTGGCTGCCCGCTCCCCCCACACACACACCAGGCCTGGGCAGCCGCCGATCTTTGGACATTTGACCCTTGAGCCTCTCCCAAGCCGTACCCCCTCCCCCCCCCACCCCAGCCCAGAGGCGAGGGTGCCAGTTGGCTGGGCGGAGGCGGGGTGACGGTGCTCGGGGCTGTGGGCATGGTGACTTGGGGCTCCAGGGGCCCTGCATGGCCCCCATCGTCTGGGCCAGTTCCTTCCCTGCACCGTGCCCTCCTCCCTCGCTGCTGATGTGGAAAATTTCCTCTGCAGTCCCCCGCCCCCTTTTCTGGCCCGGCCAGGTTGCCATGGAAACTGCATCCTGCTTGGGGTGGGGGTTGAGGTTTGGGAGCAGGGAGAAGAGATGGTGACGGGGACTCTGGGCTCTCAGTCTGTGCCCTTGCTCCTGCATAGCCAATGCCCCCCCACCCCGCCCCGTCCCCCCCGCGGTCACTCCCCCAGGTCTTGGCACAACGTTCCTCCACTTGGGTCTCTGTCTGCCTCTGATCCCTCTGGGGCTGTGCTCTGGGTGCCGGCCGCCCTGGACCTCCATCCTTCCGGCCCCCCCACCCCCATCTCACCTGGGCCGGCTGCCATGCCGTCCCCAGCCAGGCCAGGCCCACGTCTCCCCACTGCAAGGTCTGGAGGCCTGGCCTGGCGGTTCCTCGTCTGCCCACAAGGCGGCGGGATGGAGTCGGCCACCCCCGCCCGGCGCCCGGACCTCCCTCCGTTCACCTTGACTTCCGACCGCTCACCCTCCTCTCCCCCCGGCCGCCGGGCCAGCAGCACCCCCTCCCAGGGTTGCATTCTCACCCCCACACTGTCCCTCCCGCCTCCCCCACGTCCCATCCGTCAAGGAGAAGACTGCGGGGCCCGGGGAGGCCCGGTGCCCCCCAAAGGAGCCCCAGCCAGCGCGGGTGCCCGGTGGGAGCCTGGCATCGGAAATGGCGGCGTCTGCAGCGGCGCCCGGCTCCCTGCCCCCCGCCGCCACCTGGTCCCCGCTGCAGCGTTGCCATGGCAACCAGGGATGGCTCTGAAAGGGGGCGAGGGAGAAGAGGAGCAGGAAAGAGGGAGCGTCCCCAGCCCAGATCCCAGCCATGGCGGCTGCGGCCCCTGCCCGTGAGGTTGCTGCAAGAGCTGCAGGCGGAGGAGATGATCTGCCGGGGCCCCCCGCCTCTGTCCTCAACTCCGGGGGGGGCCTGGGTGTCCTGCACAGCACCCAGCCCTGCTCTGCACGGGCCAGGCTGGGCCGCGGTGACGGGGGAGAGGGGGCGACCGGCCTGCTCCGGACCCAGCCCTGCGTGTGCGTGGACCCGCGTCCGTCCGCCTCTGTCTGTCTAGACAGCACGGACGGCGCCCAGGCCTCCAGAGCAGCGGTTCTCAACCTTCCTGATGCCGCGACCCTTTCATCCAGCTCCTCATGTTGTGGTGACCCCCCAATCTCATTGTGACAAATTGAACATCATGAAAGCAGAGTGATTCATCACAAAAACAATAGGTCATTATATGTGTGTTTTCCGATGGTCTCAGGCGGCCCCTGTGAAAGGGTCGTTCTACCCCCAAAGGGGTCGCGACCCACAGGTTGAGAACCGCTGCGCTAGAGGCTCAACCGCCAGCACCTTGGCCTCCCTGCTCACCCCTGGGTTTGCTCCCACACCCTGGCTGCTAGCCCTGGGGCGTGGGGGTGGGGGGAGCTCTAAATGGGGCCCCTGCCCTGGGGGACAGTGTAC